TCTGTTGTGCAAACTCAAAATATGGAGACATTTAAACTGGTATTACAAAAGTACATAAAGAACTTACATTTGAATACTGGCCTGAGGTTCAGCTCAATTCTGGTTTCAGTCTTGGGCTCCAGGCTGAAGCTGATGATGAGCTGCTGCCTGCCCCAGGCTGGGATGGCTCATGTGATGGGGGAGGGGGCATGCATTATGGGGAGAATGGGGGAGACTGTGCAGCCTGCCCCGCTCCCTTTGCAATTACCATCAGCTCCAGCTCTGGTCCTGACTTTTCTGCTTAGCCAGGGCAGAGGCTGGACTGTTGCTGTTGCCTGCTCTGGACAGAGAACCACCCAGAAGATAAGCAGTAAGGGGAACAGGGAGTAGAGGGAGTAGGTGGTAGTGGAAGTAGGAAAGGTGTGGGGGGTAGGCAGAGGAACAGCAGGGAGCACAAGCACAGCTGGGCCAAGGGTCTCTGGCCCCTCACCTTCTGCTCCCTGCTACTGCTTCCTCCACCACAGATTTGGGGGATGGGAGAGGGGGAATGAATTTAAGATGACCCTCCAATAATTCAGTTCTATATATGGGGACATGATAACCAATGTATAATTTTCCATGTATAGAATCAAATTATTAGGGGTTCATCTTAAATCTGAAGTAATCTTAGTTTTGGGTAAATATGATAGTTACACTGGGGCAGATGTCTCATGCAGGTGACTCTTGACACCAAGCTTAGAAAAAAGTACCCTGTATAATTCCAACTCTTACAATTGGTTAGTGTAATGTAGAATCCGGGTATCCTTATTCCTTATAGATTGTAATGGAAGTGACATCTTTCATAGTTCATTCCATCATCATTTTTCTACCCTTGTATCTTTTCTGTAGCTGAAACACTATTATCCCATGTCTTCAGTGCTCCACCATTTGTTTTTTCTCCCTGTTTTTCAGTATAGCTCCTTCAAGCTTGTTCAAGGTCCCAGTTGCACAGGTAGACACATACTTGGGTGCTTTTGGTGTCACACTGTCTCTGATGAGAAACTGTAGATTCATAGATTGTTGGGGCAGGAAGGGACCTTGGAAGATCATCAAGTCCAGCCCCCTGCACTATGCAGGAAAGACCACTAGGGTCAGGTGAACCCAGCAAGGTGACTGTCCAGTCTCCTCTTGAAGATTTCCAGGGTAGGTGATTGCACCACTTGTGGAGGGAGCTTATTCCACAGTCTAGACACCTTAGCTGTGAAGAAGTATTTCCTAGAATTAAGCCTGAAATAGTCTTCTAGGAGTTTGTGGTCATTACTCCTGGTTATCCCCAAGTGTTCCCTGGTGAACAGTTGTTCACTGAGCCCTTGATGTATTCCCCTGATGTAGCTGTAAGCTGCTACCAAGTCCCCTCTCAGTCTTTTCTTTTTTAGGCTCAAGAGACCCAAGTCCCTCAGCCTCTCCTCATATGACTTGTCTTGCAAGTCTCTGATCATATGGGTGGCTCTTTGGACTCTCTCAAGCTTTTCCACATCCTTGTTGAAGTGCAGCACCCGGAACTGGATGCAGTACTCCAGCTATGGTCTCATCAATGCCGAGTAAAGTGGAGGAATCACTTCCTTGGTTTTGTGTGAAATGCATCAGTTGACACATGCCAGAGTATTGTTTGCCCTGCTGGCTGCAGCATCACACTGATGGCTCATGTTCATACTGTGAGCTGATGTCAGCTTCCAAGGAGGTGTATTGTTCCCTCCCATAAAGAGCTACACCTCCATCTTCTTCTGTACTCAGTCCCTTCTGTGCAGGATGTAGCCATCTATGGCTACTTTCCAGTCATGTGAAAAGTCCCACCAGGTCTCCATGACCCTACTATCTACTAGATTGTAATGCCCACTGGAGAGTAGGACATCTAGCTCCTCCTACTTGTTCCCCATGCTCCTGGCATTAGTGTACAGGCACCCAAGTCCTCCAATTGAGACCCTTGATTTCCTGTCACACTGAGGGAGGACCATTCCCTCAGGTCTTGCAAGAGTGGTTATCCTAGTGTCCCCAACTTTGGAGCTTTCTTGTTAGCCAGTCCCCAGGCATGCTTCAGTCAATGTTTCCTCGTCCCCTGGTGATCTTAGCTTACAGCCCTATCTAGAAGATTGGCCATCCTGGCTGAGAACAGGGACTTACCCCTCCATGTGAGGTGGATACTGTCCCTTCCCAGGAGTCCTGTCTCCATGAAGTGTGCACTATGGTCAAAAAAACTGAAGCCCTCTCGGTAGCACCACCACCAGAGTCGTTGGTTTACTTCTTTAATGCATCCTTCCCTCCTAGGCCCATGGTCTGCAACTGAGAGCACAGAGGAAAAGACTACCTACATCCCCATCACCTTGAGCCCAGCCCCCAGAGCCCTGTAGTCACTCATGACCTGGTCCAGATTCCTCCTGTACGTGTCATTCTTGCCCATGTGGATAAGGTGCATGAGGTAGTGGTCAGAGAGCCAGACAAGCCTAGGGATCTTCTCTGCAACATCTTGGATGGGTGCCCCAGGGAGGTAGCAGACCTCATGGGCTAGGGGGTCCAGATGGCAGATGGGTCCCTCAGTGCCCCACAGGAGGGAGTCCCCCCCCTGTGTCTCCTCTTACGGGTGGCAGCTGGCAAACTACCCATTTCCTCCTCCAGTGTCTCCATCAGAGCCTCCTCATGCATAGTGAGGGGAGCATGCCTGTTGTGCAGTGCAAGGGGAGAGGCTGGTCTAGCCCTGCATGTCCAGGAACCCGAGATGACTATCTTCCAGGTAGTTCTGGGTGGGGCTTTGCAGCCAGCCTTCTTGTTGGCCACTTTCTCCTCTATCTTCTGTTCTTCTTCTTCCTTCTTCTGGAGAAGGGCAGTACCCATTGATGTGTTCTTCATGGGCCCTGATGGTGTATAGCTGATGTACCTTTTCCTTGAGCTCCCACAGTCAGTCCTTCAGAGACTCCATTAGGGATCACACCCCACAGGTGGGGGTGCCTCCATGCCACCTGCCGGCAGCTGTACTAGGCAGCCCTCACAGCCCAGAGTCAGGGGCCCAGTTTGGGTAGAGACCTCAGTGGTGCCGGGAAGCCTGTAGGCATGACAACTCTCAACCATGGCTGAGAGCAAGTCCATGTCCCTACCTGGTCCCAGCAGCTTCACTTCAGGCTCCAGACCTCAGGGTCTTTGCTGAGCCCAGCCCTCTGGGTGCCTTCTGCATGCCCCTCTGCATGAACTCCTGTACTCACTGCTGCACCCAAGAAGAGTTGCACCTGTTTAGAAGCTTTGTTTGCAGGGCTCCCTGGGGGCTTCAGCTAACTAGGGACCCAGGTGGTGGGGGTAGGGGGAGGCATTCCTCTCCCTGGTCCCAGTCAGCCAGCACATCCTGCTGTGCATGCATCCCTGCATTTGCCCACCCTCTCCTTGGCCCGGTTCCCTTACCTCCTGGCTCTGTGTTGGATCAGTGATGTCCAAGAGGCATCCAGGTCATTGATTCCCGGGGGCGTGGTGGGTGCTTACCCATGCAGCTCCACCGAGGAGCAGGCCCAAACTGCATGAATATGAAAATTCTCCTGTGAATATTAGCTTTATTATTGGACCTTATAATATTCATAAGTCTATGTGTGTAAAGTGGAATTGTTTAGTTCTAACAGCAATGTATGGTGATAAAGACTTCAGTTACACACTCCCAAGGACATATGCACATGCACATGGTGCTTGGTACACAGGGAGAATTTGCTCAGCACATGTGCTTCACAAAACATAGCACAAGAAATTTATTTTTAATCATAAAGTAAAATATTCCAAAATTGTGTAACTGAATGATGGGTAGCTATAGCAAAACAGGGAACATAAGGGAAACTGACATTAAATATTTGGTGTGCTGCCATGACATTTGCTGAATTTTATTTTTATGCTTTATTTAAGGCATCATCTCATCTAAATTTGAGTCTTTGTGGAATAAAATGCAAAATAATGGAAACACAAAACAAAAACAAATGTAGCTCTGTTGAGCATGTGCCTTTGTTACATTTTTGTAATTCTGATTCTGGAAAATGATTAAATAAGGCTCAACTCTTTTGCTTTGCTTTGTGATTTCTTTATATATGAAAACAGAATGTTCTTTTAAGAATCAAAGTTCTATGAAAGTGAAATCCTTCAAGATTCTGTAATATTCTAAATCTTGACTCAATGTATTTTTTTTCTTTTTGCTTATGTATTTTCATTTAGGAAATAGAAGTATTCTTTTAGTATTATCAGTGAACTAAAAGTGCTATTGTATATTAAACTCAAACTACCAAAATTCTGAATCAGTCTATCTTGTTGAGCTGCCCCAGTGGTATGCATCCATTTCTTGTCACTGTAGATGTAGCCTATGGCTAGGGGTAGACATGAAAAAAGCCTGTGCCTGAATTGATTAAATCCTTGCAGGTTAGTCTAACCTGCCTAGCTTGAATAATTTTGAAATGGCACAGACATTCCCTCTGGACTGAAAAAATGCAGGCACATGCCTGCAATAGCTGAGGCTAGAAGCTGGGAGGTGCTAGAGCAGCCTTTGCTTTCACATTGCTGAGCTGGGAAAGCACAGCCAAGCCGCAGCAGGACTTCTGATTAGGGAGGAGTTTAAATTCCACCGTGCCTGCATAGTCCCAGGCTTTTCCCTGCTTGCTGCTGAAGGGGTGGGAGTGTTGGCAGAACTCAGCCCTAGGCTAGCGCTTTGAGGCAAAGTGGGGCGGGGGAGGAGGGTGCAGTGCATGTATCTGTTGATCATACTGAGCTCTTCAATTCTCCTCTCCCTGCTTCTTCAAACTGTCTGCAGCTAACCTGACAGGCAGCAGAGAGCTGATACCACAGAATTTAGCAGCCCGTCAACAAAACAAAAGTCTCTCATTAGTTCAAGCTCTTCCTAAACAGCTTTTTCCAAGGAAGGAATGGAAGGACATTACCAACTGACCTGTTGATTAGGTCCAGAAGGTGGGTGGGGAAGGCCTTAAAAAGGAAAAAACACCATGGAAATTCTGCCAAGATTACTTGGTAGCCTTGACCATCTTCTGTAGCAAGAAGTATCCTCTGTTCAATGCTGCCTTTGGATTTGCTTTTTGGGAAGCTGTAGGGTAGATGATCTACCCTCTTGTCTAAAACTTAGGAAATTCAGGGTCAGTATTTCTTGTTTGCTTGGTAAACACAGTTGGAAAAAGGTTTTTTTAAAGTATTTTAGCTAATATATGTTACAATCCTAGTGTAAAAAGGGTTGTTTAGTTTTAATACTTATGAACAGTAGAGGCAAAGTAACAGGGAGCCTAGGTTTTATCTTGCGTAGTTAACATCTGCTAAAACTGTACCATATATTCTTTACATTTGGGATTTGCATGCATGTGCATGTGTGTGCATACACACACATTTTAAAAATCTACCTCTTCTTTTCTGAAGAGTAGGTTTTGATGCAAGTTTGTCAAGCAAGGCACTGCCTGGGGGCTTGAACCATAGTGAATCTAAGATGGGCTTTGAAGGCAATTAGGAAGATTACTTTTTTTATCCTTTTTTTCAGTTAAGGCTTTGTTAATAGACACTGAGGGTTGAGCAAGGGTTTTATGTTTAACTGCAGTAAAATTGGAGCCTATGAACACAAATGCATTTACTCTTTCTGTGAGCTCACCTAACTATGCCCTCTGCAAATAAGATTCCACCCTTTCCTATTGTGACCATAAATTCCCATATAATCAGCATGCCCCCTTGTCTTGCAGAACATGGTCGCCAGACAAAGAATAGGAATAGTAATTACATCAACACTAATATCAGCACTTCATTCATCTGAATGAGGTGTTCATTTCAAAGCCTAATTGGGATAATTTAAATGCTAATGTTATTAAATACAGGCAATTAAGAAACATTCAGCTGATGCCAGGACACTTCCTAAAGGTAAATGCAAAACGTAAAAATTATTTAAAATTAAGTCCATTAGGGTACATGGTACTGCACTGGGGATAAACTTGGGCTATTGTATTCATTCTCTTCATACCTTTCTTTTTTCTGATAGGAATCTGGGCTCTTTCTTTACTCACCACTCAAAGAAGTACATTACTATAATACATGGAAGGGCATTGGATTTAACTCCACCCATTCATTCTTGAGATTTTTTTCTTTTTTTATCTTTTCTCTCTATCTTTGAACATGAAAAGTGGTTGTTTTGCTTCTCACTTCAATGGGAGCAGGATTTAATCCATGCTTTTCTGTGTTTGTACAGTATCTAGCACGATGCTGCCCCCTCTACATAAATCACTGAGCAATGCCAATGAGTCATGAAACAGTAACCTCTAAGGCTAGAGACATACATTCAACAAGCTAGAGCCTGAATTGATTCAATCTTTGCAGGTTAGTCAAACCTGGCGAGATTGAAACAAATTGGAAGTGAACTTACATTCATGAAATGCAGGCACTTGCCTGCAGCCACTCAGGCCAAAAGCTGGGGGGCGGTAGAACAGACCCTCAGCTGCAGCGAAGCTGGGGGGTGGGACAGGGTGATGGCCAGGCCCCAGCAGTAGCCAGGAGTAAACTGGATGGAGGGGGGTCACCCCTTCCCCATCCCACCAGCACAGACCCAAGCTGGGGTGTGGCAGCTGCTCCCCCATTGCTGCTGCAGTGGCAGGGCATGGTCCCCCGAGGCAGAGGGGGCAGGGAGGGGGGTTATTCCCCCCTGTGCCCCTGGGGGACTGCAGCGGGGTCTGCCCACTTTGACCACTGCATCTGTTCACTCCATGTGCAGGGCAAGTGATGGGATAAACCACTTCCTGCCCCTTCCACCAGATGCTGGAGGGAGCAGGGAATAACCCTGCCCCCTGCCTCCCCACCTAAGGGGCCCTGCCAATCAGCCTCTGGCTGCCCCAGCCTGGCTGTTGGAGTAGTGAGAGGGCAGGGCCACTGTCCTGATGTCCCAGAGTGCAAGCCCTTTCCCGGGGGGGAGCGCTATGAGCAGGGGTCAGAGCTGCTGCAGACTGTGCAGCAGGAACAGTGGCACTAGGGCTCAGAGGGGGCCATTGCTCCCCAGCACCATAGTCATGAGCCCCACGCAGTCCATGTCAGCTTTCCCCACCCTACAGCATGGTCCCCTGCTGGGAAGGGGCTCTCACTCCAGGACACCATGACAGGGTTTCTCCCCTGTCCCTTCTTGAGTGTCACAGTCACAGCCACTCTCCCCTTCCTGTTCCAGTGTCTGGGCAGGGGTGTGGCCTCAAAGCTGGCAGGCAGGGCCTCTTAGGCAAGGGGACAAGGAAGTGGATTATTTCCCCCTCTGCCTCTGAGGACCACCAGTGTTTGGCTGCTGCAGCTGGGGATGGTTTAAGTTAAACCAGGAAGGGATCTGGGACAGATGTTGCATAAACCAGTTTGACCCAAATCAGTTCAGTTTGATATTACATTCAGCCAGGTTTATCTTAAACCAGTTTTGGCCATTTTGAAACTGGTTTCTGTGCACTGAACTTATGTTCTGTTACAGGTTTAAGCCAGTTTCTGATTACTTAAAATGGTTTGTGTGTATGTCTGTCCCTAGCCTAGAGACTCAGTGCTATATTTACATTTAAAAAAAATGGGAATAGAAGTCTAAGGGAATATCCATGTTCTAGAAATGGGGTGCTCTTAGCTTATGTTGGTTACTGTGGTGAAAGTGGGAGCTCCCCAGCTAGCCACAGTGCTGATCTCACACTACCTCTGGGCACGCTGCCCACCTCTCTTTCCTGCCATGCCTTGCTGTTAAGCAATTACTATCTTAATTAGGCAGGAGGCTGCCCATTGAATGCCCTGTTCTCTTGGGCCTATGTATGTAGCTCCAACCACCTCTGTACTGCATCCCAAGCCTTGCAGATGTTGCTTACAGCTGTGCTAAGCTCTGGCCTGAGGCCAGGCCCAAATCATCACAGCATTGAATCTCATTTGCTCTGCCCTGCTATGGCCACACTTAAACCGCCTCCTTCTCACAGAGGCCTCTCACTCACCACCGGCTCTCACCTGGTTTCTTTCATCCCACCCTTCCTGGTTCTCTCTCGTACTTCCTCTTCTGTCCCAGGGACCCCATTCACCCTGCCCTCACACGGAGGGTCCTCAGGCTTTCTACTCTTCACTCCCCGGCCAGCAAGTGTGCAGCCTTTTGGGCATCTCCCGCTACCCTCATCTGAGCAAGTGCTGCGTGGCTCACAAAATGCTGTGCTGACTCTGCCCTGTGTTTGATAGCTGGGTAACTCCTCCCAGCTACTCTCCATTAAGGGGCTGATGGCTTGCCCCTCCCCTCCATTCTCCTTGCGACTCCTCCTCTACTGCCTCCCCATTGACCACCAGCAGCCTCCGGCACCTGGACTTAACTCCAGCCCCCATGCTAACAGGGCCTCTACTCCAGCCCCAGCCCCTGCCCTCAGGGCCCCAACTCATATCCCCCCATTTCCAGGGCTTCACAACTGCCCCTTTTGGTCCACGACTTGCCCCTTTCACAAGGGCCTCTACTACTCGCCTTATGGGGTCTTCTACCCTTTCAGGCTCAGGCACTTCTCAATGCCTACCTGTCCATCACTGCTCCCCTTCAGGGTCTTGCCCTGCTGCTCAGCCTACAAGCTCCCCCAGAGCTTGCAACTTCCCTAAGTGGTAAGTATCCCACTGGTGCTCTGCCACAGTTACATTTGTTTAAAAAGCAAGTTACTGTGTTTTCACTTATTTTAAACACAGATTAGCAGTGCAAACTCCCTATTTGTCTCCTTTGAGGCTCACTAGCAACATCGCAAAGCAATTACATGACTGTGTCACAGTATTATCAACTTATTTAATAGTTACTCAATTGCTGGTATTATAATGTTGTATAATCACATTGTTTCTTCTTCTTCTAAAAATTCGCCTTGATATCTGGGATGTGAGAGACAACTGTACAACATTATGTAGTACTTCATGGTGAAATCTTTTGTTGAATCCACTGAAGGGGGTCCCAGAGTATGGACATAGCAAGCCTCTGGGTTGTAAGTAAATTATAATTACCATGAACTCAGAGGAAAGCAATGTAGTATTTCAAGTATTAGGATCAATAGACTCTAGTACTTATTGAATGTGCAATAAATGCTCAGACATATTGAAATATCTGATGTAGTGTTAGAAAGAATGTCACACTGAAAGACATGAGAAACATAGTAATGTGTTACAGCAGCTTAAGTAATATAGAACCAATTTCTTTAGTGTTAACAGCATTTTCTGTAATCTACATTATAATTCAGCATTTCTTCTCTAATGTATATAGAAGAAATGCTGAATTGTATAATATGGGATCAAAAGTTTCCCACAAAACTTAAGAGAAATTTTATCAAAGACTTCAATGGTAAAATGAGTAACACTGCATACCAATCCAAGGGTTTATTAAAATGAGGATAATATACCCTTAAATATTGGAAAGAAATATTGGTATGACTAATTTCTTGACACATATTTGCAAAACTAAGGATGCAATTTATCAGGTAAAATGTATATTAACAAAAAATGGAAGTTGGGCTCTAGTGCAGTTTAAAAAATATGCCTTTAGATGAGAAAAGCTTGAAATACCATTTTCCTTCCAGTGTGATTGGTTTAGTCATAGGTTTTGCACTGATTTAATTAATTTTTTCAACATAAAGGAATGTGAGCAAAACATTGCTAACAAAAAATAGTTATATCCAGGCTTTGGGGTTTCAAAGTCATAAATTAATTTATTTTTAAATTAATGTATTTAAGTCCCTGCAAGAGTGTGTGCGTAAACAAATCCCAAACCTTTGTTTGTTTAACTGTCAAATTACTGGGCAAGTTTCTTCATTACTTTAAGAAAAGCAGTGATTGAGTAGTGTAATCTCCTGTGATAAAATAAATGCATTCTTTTGCAATTAGGATTAAAAGTAAATTCTAATTATGAAGGATTTATCATTTTAATTTGTAACAGACTACTTAGTACAACCAATGAAACAACCGAAAAACCAAGTACAACCAATGAAACTTATTCTAGGAATGCCAACACTGAACAAAGGTTTATGCATCCTGCACTGGGCTAGATAATTTGTCTAATAAAACGAAGGATTATTACTTGTTAATGGAGAATGTTGTATTTGGCTGAGGTTTTTAAAATATACAGAATGTTTTAGAATGAAGTCTTCAATAAAAGCATAGTCTTTTTTGGTTTTAAAAGACTCTCTAGGTCAAGAGATTGGAAAGATGGTCTGCTCCTCAGGGCAGGGCTGCAACTAGCGGATTGGTACAATTTCTGGCTGAACTGCAGGCAGTTCATGTAACACTCAGCAGGTCACCACCTCAGTTTCTCAGCCACTAAATTCCTATCTTGTCAGGATGTTGTGAGGATAAAATCCATTAATGATTGCATGATGCTCAGATACCACAATAATGAGGGACCCTTGAGTTCTCTTTATATTCATGTGTCAGCTAATTCCACCCAAGTTTGCATTTATAAAAATTTCTTACCTGAAAACAAAAGCACTGATGAAACATTCCTCTGCTGTGACTACCAGCATGTCTAGACTGCCTTTTATTATGCCACACCCAGTAACACCACTCTGGGTGGGTGCCCAGAGTTTCTCTGCATTGCATGTGTGCTTATATCTTCTCAGCATTTCTCTACAGGTGGCTACACTGCCTCATTTTCAGGAACGGGTGGGTGAGGACTGCAGTACGACTGTGCTCCATAGCTTGGCACAGACATGGTGTGGATGTACTCACTGAATCCAGCCCTGTTATTCTTGATCAATATACCACATTTCAATCAGCTGTGCATTATTTCCTCCTAATGATTGCAGGTATAAAGGCCTGACTTCAGTGGAAGCTACAAATGCTCAGTCACTTTGGAAAAGTAATGCTTTATTTTAGTGCTCTAATTTAGACGCTCTAATTTGAAAATTTCAGGCTCGGCTAATCTTACACTTGTACCCCGCAAAGAATCCTCAGGCAGTGCTTACTTTTCATACAATTACTAGATACAAAACATATCTAGTCAGCTAGCAGTCAGAATTCCTATGGAGATAGTATGAATAAAACAAAAGCTACAGAAATCAGGGTACC